TTCATTTAGAATATCATCTATTAATCCCGCTTATCTGAGCAAGGATTTCACTCACTTATACCAACTTTGTCAGGTTTTTACTTGATAAAATCAGTTTTTCCATTCATTATAAGCATGAACATGATATAATAATATATTATAACATCCAGTGTATTAAATGATTCTGAGGACAGGGCTTTATTCTACATGATGTCAACAACTGTTTTTACCTGTGTGTTGTTTACTGTTATTAATCCTAAAGCAGTGCTTAAGATACTCAGTCTGGTGATACTCAATCATTCTGAAAAAGAGTTCAATTCTTGTTGTGAGGAAGCAGAGTTACTCAGGCCTTCGTGTTTGGGGGCATCAGGGCAATACCCTGATGTATGGAGCTATAGGGTACAGGTCTAGCTATACCCTGATGTATGCTTTCAGGAGCTTGGCGTGCTATAGAACAAACTCAGGTCTCCTTCATGCAAAGCATGTTACCCAAACCCCTGTACTATTTGCCAAGCCTCTATATTTAATATTTTTATTTACTCTTATTGTTAGTGTTCTATTTTATCATCCCCCACATGTTTGTGTACAGAATCCTTTGTGAGGTCCTTATTTTTTCTTTAATACCTTTCCCCAAATTATAGTCTTTCTCCTTTATTCCAAATTAATTCATCTCTTTGATATTAAGATTTTCTTTCTTTTTCATTTTCACTTGTGGTTTATTTCCTCATTGTCCTGGCAATTCCCCTCAAAAAACTCTAGATTGAAGAACTAAGAGAGAAACATATTATGCTTAATTTCTAAAAATAGGACTGTAGCTATAGCCCAGCGGTAGGGCGTTTGCCTTACACACAGCTAACACGGCTGGCCCGACTTCGATTCCTCTGCCCCTCTCAGAGAAGCCGGCAAGCTACCGAGAGTATCTCGCCTGCACAGCAAAGCCTGGCAAGCTGCCCATGACTTATTCAATATGCCAAACACAGTAACTAGTCTCACAATGTTACTGGGCCCGCTCAAGCAAATCGATGAACAATGGGAGGACAGTGACAGTTCTAAAAATAATCTAACTCTGCATAAATAAAAATGTTCTAATTCTGTATCTATATTTAAATTGTAGCTGGGAATGTTTTATATTACCTTATATTTGTCTTTAAAAACATGATGTCTGTCACATAAATGATCCATAATACATAGTGATGATTATTCACCAGTAATAGGGCTCCTAAACTGAAGAGAGATTGAGGTTCTTATTACGGCTGGAAGAGTTTATAAAGCCCTAGTGAACATCTGTGCTAAATCTGTTCACACTGAATGTTCACTGTCAAATATTAGAATTAGAAACTAATTGTTCCATATATTAGATAATAAAATACGTTTTCCTGAGAATTCAGGAGGGATTGCTCTCTTATTCATCATATTTGTAGTGACTTTTATTGATTTTGTTGTTTAAGTTGAATTTGTTGGTGTTATTATTGATGTTGATGTTGAAATTATTGATCCTAACATTAATGTTGATGCAGAATTTGTTGATGCTGTGGATGGTGTTGAATATTGAATTTGTTGTTGATGTTGCTTTTGATGTTAATGATGCTTATGTTATTTGATGTTTATATCAACTTCTTTGATGTTGAAGTTGCTGCTGATGTTTTTATGGATAGTGATGCTGTTGTTCATGCCATTTATGCTGCTGTTGCTGTTGACATGTTCCTGAAGGTTTGGTGATACTATGCTTCTTTGTTTTCTGTGTCTGTTCTGATTTACTCTGGAAATAATTTTGAATGTTCCCAGAATCTAAAATTTTGGTATATTCTTATATTTTGCCACCTATCTTGTTGGGTAATACTTTTGAGTTTGGAAACTCATACTTTGCATTGCTTGGGGCTGTTTTTCATTGAAAAATATTATCAAAGAATGTCAGCTTATTTTCCTTGTGCATTGTAATGTTATTTGTTGGAAAGAAGATTTCTTGGTTTTATTCTTGAAAGAAACTCTGTTATACATTTTTTGATATAATTTGACTACTGGACAACTTACTTCCTTCTTTACCTATTCTGATATAACCTTGATATGATATTGATAACTAAAAGATATTTTCTGCTACAATTTCTATCCCATCTTGATTCCAGATGATAATTATCATTTGTATATTTGTTTTTTATGTTTTATTTGTCCTTTCACAATCTAGATTATTTTCCATGTTGATTTACATAGTTTCTATTTCTATTTTGCATTTAAAACTTTCATTAGTTATGGGCGATTTCTTCAGGTTTCATTAGACATTAAAGAATTCCAGATACCTGGGAAGAGTTGGTTAACTGGTAGCACTCCTCTCAGACATCCCAGAGCATCCTGTCTTGGACTAGTGAGGCATCCTCTTCCTGTTCCATGGTGGCATCTCTCTGTAGAAATATATAGAGTCCTTTGGATGTTGATTTTTTTCAGGAATTATTATTACTACCTGGGGTAATATACTCTTGGTTTTCAGCGTTCTATAAGCACAAACTTAGCATTTCTGTCAATATAGGGTATTACTGTTTCAGCAGAGCAATAGCATAGCAGGGTAGGGCAATAGCATAACGGGTAGGGCATTTGCCTTGCATGCACCCAACCCAGATGTGAAAGAGTATTCTGCCCGCACAGCAAAGCCTGGCAAGCTACCCATGACATATTCAATATGCCAAGAACAGCAACAAGCCAATAAAAAAACAGTAACAAGTCTCACAATGGAGACATTACTAGTGCCTGCTCAAACAAATTGACGAGAACAGAGCTACAGTGCTACTGTTTCAGCACTAAATAACAACTTCAATGTGTTCCATCCCATCTCACCAGCATCAACTCTTGGTCTTCTGCAGTTTGGGTATTTATAATATCAGAATCTACAGAATCTATTCCTTATATTTTTATTAGAGAAGTTCCACTTTATATTCTGTCTGGGAGAAATAAATCTAGAGTTTTTTTTATTTCATATATATGAAAAATACATATTATATACTAGTATATCTGTCACTGTCCTCCTGTTGTTCAGTGCTTTGCTCGAGCAGGCCCAATAACATTGTAAGACTTGTTGTTACTGTATTTGGCATATCGAATATGTCACGGGTAGCTTGCTAGGCTTTGCTGTGTGGGCGAGATACTCTCGGAAGCTTGCCGGCCTCTCTGAGAGCAATAGGACAGCAGGTAGGTCATTTGCCTTGCACACGGCCAACCCAAGTTCGATTCCTCTGCCCCTCTCAGAGAGCTCATCAAGCTCCCAAGAGTATCCCACCCACACGGCAGAGCCTGGCAAGCTCCTCATGATGTATTTGATATGCCAAAAACAGTAACAACAAGTCTCACAGTTTGTTACTCTACACGTGCTGTTACTGATGCCTGCTCGAGAAAATTGATGAACAGTGGGAGGACAGTGACAGATAATAGTATATGTATCATATATATATGTATATATGTATATATCATTTATTCTTTCCTGATATGATACACAGTCATTTTTCAGTCCCATTAAAAAATCACAACTTTGTGGCTGGAGAGACAGTACAGCACTAGGGTACTTACCTTGCATGCCTCTGATCCAGGGTTGAAATCTGGAATCAATATGGTCCTTTGAGCCCAACCATGAGCTAGGAGTAAACCCCGAGCACCACAGGAGTGGTCCCAAAACACAAACAAAACTCATAACTTTGATGTTCCTAAGAACAAATTTAATATCTGTTTTATCCAGGAGGCTAAAATTTCTAAAATTTATTTGAAGGAAGATAAATTTATGAACAATTACATGGGCATATGGTAGAGTAAAACTAGAGTTGTGTGGGAAGTATTGGAGAAATTCCTTTTACTAAAAGAATTGGGAAAGGCTTCACAGAAGAGGGAATATTTCAGTGGGTCCTAGAATATTCAATAATGCTTTGAAATATTTAGCTGAAACTATCTCGAAGGAAGGTTTTAAAAGAACAATAGAGGATAAACTTCAGAAAGGATACCATCTTAGTGACTGTGTTTTTTTAAGCAATTACAGGGTGACATTGAGGAGCCAGATTGATAGTGCATCAGGAAGGGCACTTGCCTTACAAGTGACCTGGATTCAATGACCAGTTCCACGTAGGTCCCTGGAGTACTGTCAGTAGTGGTCCCTAAGCACAGATGCAGGAGTAAACCTTTTTATTTTTAAACCTTTCTATTGAATCACTGTGAAATATACCCTTACAAAGCTGTTCATGATTGGATTTCAGTCATACAATATTCCAACACCCATCCCTCCACCATTGTATATTTCCCAGAACCAACCACTATCACCAGGTTCCCTCGTGTTGCACCCCCCCATCCCTGACTGCCTCTATGGTAGGCACTTTTATGCTCTCTCTCTCTGTCTGTCTCTCTTCTCTCTTTCTCTCTCTCTCTCTCTCTCTCTCTCTCTCTCTCTCTCTCTCTCTCTCTCTCTCTCTCTCCTCTCTCTCTCCCTAGGAGTAAACCTTGAGCACCAAATTGTGTAGCCTCAAAACAAAAAAACAAAAACTGTGGGGGAGGGACCCACGTTGGTGCGGTTCCTGGGTTAGAGTTCTACTTCCCGAGCACTTTTAAAACCATAGGAGTCTCCTCTAATGTAGGTGCTCATGTGGGTGCATTAGCCAAGAAGGGCTCTTCCAGTTCACTGTGGCTGCTTGCACGCCCCCCAAATTAATATCTTAACCACAGTGAAAAGTAACTTTGGCATCTCATCCTAATTTATATTTATCTTCTCTCTGGTGAATAGAACCAAAGAGCCCTTGATTATCAGTCACTTTTATTTCTCTCAATGTCTTCTGGCTTGAGTGTTTTGTGCTATGGTTTTCATCAGCGGATTTGGTTTCTCATATTTTTCTTTGCAAAGTTGGAATGAAAATCCTTTGGCATCCGTTTCAGCTCGCTTCCGATCTCTTCCTTTTGCAGAGCGAGTTGCTGGCTTCTCCCCGGCTTGACTCCTGGCATGTGTAGAGTCATCAGCTGCTCTTTGTCACCCGCAAACCTTGTCCTGTTTCTTTCCACAGACAGATTCTTGCCGCAGCCAAAAGAGCTGACCAAGTGGGCCATTTCCTCTGGGTGGGATCTGACAGCTGGGGATCCAAAGTGAACCCACTGCACCAGAATGAAGACATTGCCGAAGGAGCCATCACCATCCAGCCCAAGCGAGCCACCGTGGAAGGTACGACCCTGTGTGCAGCGGGAGGGGGGCTGAGGGTATCTGGGTCAGTAGGGTGGCCTTGGCTGGTTCCTCCAGGAGGGTTGGGCATTTTCATAGACAAATGGAATGCTTAGCCTCGACTTAGAAATGAGGGCATATGCCTGGTCTGTGCCTTTTCACAGATGTTCCTTTTGGGGAAGAGATTATCTAACGAGAGAAGAGAATATTGTTTTCATTAAAATATCACAATTAGCAGGCATTCTTTTTTCCTGGTTCCACGAAAGCTTCCTGAGAGGAGAGCATTGCCATTCATGAGGAATGAAATAATAACATAATTTGAGCATCTTAACTGAGCTGTGTAGGAATATTCTCCCTTTGCAATTTACCCCTTACTTTCTTAGAGAGCTAAGAGGAGAAATCCCAGACCCCCTTCTGGCCCTTGCGGTCCCCTTCAGCACAGAAAGGTTGGAATGACACCACATGACTCCTCTCCCAGACACCAACCTCCACTGGTCTCGTGGGTCTTTGGGCGTTCTTGCACTCCATCTCTTTCTCGTGCCTTCCTGAAATTGCGTGCCTTTTGCTCTGCCTTCCTTGCTGCTACAAAGCCTTGGAGAGGAAGGAGGAAGAGAGCATGTTTATTGAAGTCCTTCTGATCTAACAAAAATTGCTGATTCTGATATATACTCTCCTTTCATTGAAAAAGCAAAGTTATTTCTAAGAGAGATACTGCAAAGACAAAGAACTCTTCCAATGCTCTCCTGCTTTGTGTTCCTTCTCTGATGGTTTTTGTCTCCTGAGTTTCCAAACAGGGCTTGCTTAGCCCGTTTAGAAACCAAAACATTCTAGTCTCTCACTCATGAAGGAGTCACATACATGCCTTTCTTTCCCTGGCTCTGCTCTGGTCTCATTATTCTCCCCAGCAGGCTGCAGGGTTCCAGTCTGCCTTTTGAAATCACCCCAGTTATGGTTCCATAACCGTTCCCTCTCTGTCATCTGGGGGAAGAGGGGCCCCCGCTGGCATCCCGGATTCACCTGAAGGCATTGAACTAGTGACAATGTCCAAGATGTGTTTAGAGGAGATCCCTGGCTGACCAACACTGGCACACATTTGCAGACAGGTTGCAAGAATAAATCACAGCATTTTCATCCTCTCTGCTTTTCATGCAGACATGTTAGCATCTGCCTTGTTCCTGGTTCTAGGATCCTAGTTTGAAGCGAAAAAAGTAAGGACCACTTATCCCAGCCAGTCTCGGAGCTGAGCACTTTGCACCGGGGAAGCAGAGACAGGAAGCAGATACCCCAGGGCATGGAGTAGTTCAGTGCCATGATGAGACTGCCGGGAGGGTGTGGAACAAGATATGAGGACTTGCAGCAAATGCAGAGAGGCCCCTTCTCGCACTCAGGGACAACCTCAGAGCAGTGAAGTAAGTCACATACCTGGCACACCGACGGTGACTACCCACAGCCCACCCCTGCATGACAACCTGCCAGCCCCCTACCCACCCCCATTCCCCACCCTGGCTTTACTCAGTTTCACAAGGACCCCACAATAGACTGGAAAACCTCTTCCTGCTCTAGAGCACCTGCTGCTTCACTGTGGCCCCGGGAATCCTGTGGATCTTCTGGTTCTTGGCTCAGATGGGGTCTTCTTCACCAGGCCCCTGTGACCAAGTGCCACTCAGTGCATCCCTGGTGAGATTTTGTTCCTGAAGCCTCAACTTTGGCTCCAGGCTACGTCTCTCCTCTCTTGCCTCCAGCTGAGTGAAGTAGAGTTCCTGTGCATCTCTGTAGGCAGCGTCTAGAGCGGTCCCCAGGAGAGCCCACACTTCCACAGATGCAAAAGTGAAAGGTAAGAACCCGAGTGATAGTACAGCTCTTATAGGATGCTCTCTGTACACACAGCTGACTCGGGTTCAATGCTCAGCATCCCCTTTGGTCCCCCAAGCCTTCCAGGAGTGAGTCTTGAGCTCAGAGCCAAGGATGAGCCCTGAGTACTACCTGGTGTGGTCCCCAAACCAAAAAAGAAGGGAAAGTCCTAGAACACTTGTGTGCTGGCCCTGGTTATGACTGGGAGGGGCAGGGGGCTGGGGGAATGGGGACTTGAGTAGTAGCATTGGATATGCCAAGGAATTGGTGTTTTGTTTGCAAAGTACAAAAAAAGTAGCAAGTGCAATGTTATCAGAGAGCTTCAAAAGCTCAATCTCTGAACCCTGGGGGGTAAAGTACAGGGTCTTAGAGCAAAATTCCACATAACAGGCCCATGGCAAGCTTCGCGCTTCTTAGCTGTGGACAGCACAGGAAGTGGGGCCCCCTTCTGGGGTAGTTTAGATTACTTAGACTCTCAAAGTGTTTCAAACTTCTTGACGAAAAATACTTTTTTAAAAATGTGGTCTGGAAAGAAAGATGGCGGCCGCACGGGAGCCTTGTGGACAGCAGGTTTGAGCCGGGGGTGGTGGGAGCGGCAGGGACCTCATGGGAAGGGGGGCGTAATGGGCCGTCCTTCACGCCTGACCAAGGTCGCCAGCTGCCCCCCACAAGCGGCTCTCTGGCACGGCCACGACTCCAGAGCACAGAAACCAATCTCTTAACTATCTAACTTTTAATAGAAATTCTTCCAGGGTTAATAAGTAAAATAGCAGAAATCCAAAACCACTATCACGGCCGCGCGACATCATTTTATTCTTAAACCAAGTTGTAGAAAGCAAATCATTTCACAACGCTGTTTCAGCATGTCTGATTGGAGGGGGGGGTCGTAAACTCTAAACAATAATTGTGCATCTTCTATCGAAACAATGTATCTAGTCAAAGTAGAGAGAGTATTAACTAGAACTCATCTGCCTCACAGGAATTGGGAGGGGTGGGGTGGGAGGTGGGGTTCTATTGGGGTTCGCAGTTAAAAATAAGTATTGGTAAAGGGAAATGTGTTTGATATTTACATGACTGAGACCTAAACCCGAAAGCTCTGTAACTTTTCCCACAGTGATTCAATAAAGAAATAAATTATAAAAAAAAAAAGAAAAGAAAAATGTGTATAGCAAGCAGTAGCAATAGTACAGAGAATAGGGAGCTTACCTTGCATGTGGCCAACAAGATTTGATCCCTAATGCCCCGAGCACACCAGGAGTGATCCCTGAGCACATATCCAGGCACAAACTCTGAGCATCGCCTGGTACAGCATCAAAACTGAAGAGAAATTTTGTGTATAGAGAGATTTATGGGGTTATTAAATCAGACACAGGAAACCATGTGGCATCTGCCAAAAGTAGGAGTAAAGTAAAAGACCCGGGGTTTCAAAGGATGTGGTTGAGTTGGGAGAGTAAATGGCTTTTTCAGTCAAAACATCATTGCAGTGGTGCAGCTCTTGGGGCTAAACTCTGCATCCCACCAGCATCACGGTAAGCATTCTCTTTGGCTTTTTAGAAGTGGGGCTTCTCTCCAGCTGGACCGTCTGTGTCCCCATGCCCCTGGCTGCGAAGAGCAGCTGAGAGTACCTTGCTTTAGTAAGAAGTGGACTCAGGTGGTAGGTGTGATGCAGGTACAAAGAGATTTGACCCAAGCCAAGGGCTGCCCCAGGGCTATTGTACAGAGCTGTGCCCTATTTCAAAGGAACCAGTATTTACAATTCAGTTCTCCTCCTCTGTCTGATTCTTAACCCCTCTCCTTCTAGTTGCTAGTCCATGCTTTATCTGACCAAGGTGAAATTACCTCTGAATATGCCCAACATGCTGCATTCTTGGCCCAGCATCCTTGGATAATTATAGGATAACATTGGTTTGTTCCTTCTGCCTTGCCACAGGGAGCTTAGGTTTATTGGGTTACTCCCATCACAGTGCTCCCATCCCTCTGTGTTTTTTGTAACCTCTTTCTGTGTGCTCTCTTGTAAATATTGTTTTTCTCTTCTCCTTAAGTCCTTTGCATAGTTAACTCGGAGCAATGTCCTTTTTGTATGGACACAGGAAGAGATACATTAAGCTTGCAGAGTGACTCTCCTGGGGACACCTCACCACAGGCTCAGATTACGGCGCTCAGGCCAGATTAATCATTCCTAACTCCAGCAGGGTTAGGAATCTAGTCATTACTTTTTGGATCACTGGAGATTACACAGATAATGGTCTCTCCTTCCATGTGACAGTAGGAAAGAAGATAATCAACATGTTTTTCTTCCCCCCCCCCAGATCCAGAATTTGAATCTGTTACATAAACATCTGAATTTTGACTGGTCTTTTGGGTCTCTGCAGAAGTAATTAACAACAAAACGCTTTCAAGTGCTTACAAGGACATTGCCCGATTTAAATGATGCATTTCTTTGTCTTCTCTGTTTATTCTCCAGTTAGAGTAAGGAGGGCCTCCGGGAGCCCAGGGGCTAGGGAGAGGGGGTGGAGGGGGGAATGCTTTGCAGTGTGATGGTGAGAAGACCTGTGCCGACAGAGGTCAGCCTGGCCAGCCAGCCACCCACCTTCAGGGGCGACCTGGGACTGTCTCTGGAACTTGGCAGCATGTCCCTGCCCTGGAGCTAATTCTCTGCCATGGGTATTAGTTTCTCCTCAGTGGTGGTTGAGCTGCAGGCTCTTGTCCCTCTTCCCTTCCGGTGCCCATTAACTAGGACTCTCTCTTCTCTCCATGCCCTGGCAAGTTCTGCAAAGTTGCCCAAGGCCCCTTCCCTCTGCCTGCTGCAGAGCTCTGTGCTCTCCAGGGCGGCATGGCTACCACAGACACAGCCTGACCAGAGGGGCAAGGCCCACGTCATCCTCCTGTCTCTGCCATCATCATTTACATTTGAAGTCATGCACAAAAGTTGGATCTTGCCATCTGGCCGTCATGGGTCTGAACCCTGGGGACGATTTGGAAATGACTCTGTAGAACAGCTTGGTTTCTGAGGGAAATCTGTAGTATTTGTGGAGAGAGAGAGAGAGAGAGAGAGAGAGAGAGAGAGAGAGAGAGAGAGAGAGAGAGAGAGAAGTACTTCAGAACTATCACTGGAAAGTCAGTCTGTTGTGATATTTTTTGCTCCGGGTTGA